AAGAGCCTCGTCTCCCTCTCCTCCTGCTGCTTCTGATCTTGTGCTGTGCCCATGTGATGGTCGGCATCTGTCTCTCTCTCTCTCTCTCTCTCTCTCTCTCTCGGGGGATTCAGTAGGAAACAGCTAGTCAACTTCGCGTTACAGTGACACGCAACATCTGGGCCAGTGCGAATCTGAGAGAACCCTGAGAAAATTAATGGTCATCATCGTTTGATCTTTCCGGTTGATCCCGATATGATTGCATGGACCAATGCGGAGACCCCATGGATTTGTGTTCCAGGAAAGGCGGATCGTCAAGACGAGACAGATGGAAGGAAAGAACAGTGAGTACTCACTCACAGTTCATCACTATTTGTCCCGATCAATGAAAGATGAACGGATTCGTGGGAGGCTTTGTGTTCGAGAGCAAGCGTTGTGATGCAACCTTGTGGGATCGACCGATCTCATGTCCTCCATTAATGCGAGGTACTTGCAGCATCCCCACCGAGGAAGTCTCCGGTCGTCGTCCTCTAAAGCGTGGTCGAGAAGGTGCGCCGCTTGCGGCACCGACATGGCCAAATTATCTATTCTTTTTCTTCCGATTTATTTTTTGATATGTTTGACGTTAAAAATAAAAAAATAATAATTATTCACCAAACTTTAGGAAAAGTAATTTTTCGTCTTTTATTTTTTGGTAAAAAAAGAAAAGGAAAGCTCTTTGGTTCACTGCTTTTTGTTATATATATTTTTTCTTTTGATTTATTTATTACTTTCATCATCTTGGAAAAAAAGAAAAACTAAAGCAGAAGCTTATTGCTTTCTTTTTGCTGTAATTTATGGAATTATATTTTTTCTTTACTTTTATGGAAAAAGATTCTTCAATAAAGAAATATATAGTTGTTTGAGGATTTGTGTTAATCCAAATCATCTAACTTAATAAGGTTTTTTTATGGATTTTATAGTGGGTTAGGTGCTGAGAAAAAGAGAAAAAGATATTTATTGAAATTGTATACAAATCATTACATGAACATTTTTACAAAAAAAAAAGATATTAATGGACCCATGTAGATCAAATTGCATTTCCTGTGAAGGATGTATCTTGACACAAACCAAATCCATGATCTTGAGCTGAACTTTCCAGTTTTATTGATTCTACAGAATTGTTCGTTATATGTATCAGATCACAGGCTTCTCTCTCTCTCTCTCTCTCTCTCTACACAATCTCATGGATTTTGATGAACAGAGGGAGATCAGTTTATGTACATAATGTGCAGAAGTTTCCTGCCAACCAGTTGGCATCAGTCTAAGAGTGGAGCTGATCTCCCTCCACCTCTCTTCTCCTCTCTGATGATCCAGTCATCATCTTGGACCAAAAGCTCCACTTCTTTCTCGTTGCCTTCTTCCGGTTCTTCTCCTTGTGGCTCTCCTCTTTCTGCATCGAAGCCATCAAGGGGCTGTGCCTCGGCAGTGGTGGCCTGAGTTCTCGGCGGGGAGGAGAAGCGATAGCAGAAGAGAAGTTGGAGGCAGGAGACTTCCCTGGCGAAGAGGCGTTGGAAGAAGCAACAGTGGCTGTTGCAGACGAAGCTGCAGAGAGATGAGCCAGCCTCTCGGTCAGGCAGAAGGGGCAGACTCCTGCGGCCTGTTCGCTAGCTGGGTGCCTACTGCACCTTCCCTCCATAACTGACCTTTCCATCATCTGCTAGCTGCTTGACATCTATGGAGAGAGAGAGAGAAAGAGAGAGAGGTCATAGGATTCTTCTTTGTGCTTGTTTTCCATGTTGCTTCTGCTGCTGCTTGGTCTTCTTCCTCCTTCCTGGAACATGACTTGGCCATGGCAGTACACGCCCATTGATTGCACACACCCCAGTGTGATGGATACAGATCAAAGTGACACATTGCAGCGTTTCCTATTTGACATCAACTATATGAACTCAATTTTTTCTGAATATTGAGTTCAAATCTGATTGAGGTGAAATATTTTCTAATTTTTATTATGTTACAAGTTGGAAAAAAACAAAAAGCTAGAAAATGATTCGATCGAATGGTGATCATTTTGACAAAGCATAATTATATTCTCCAATGATAGGGCCATATGAAGCCCAGTAATCTTTTATATGAACAGATGCTTCTTCATCCTAGAAACAAAATGAATGCCTCAACAACACTTGATTTAGATAAGAATGTCAAGTTATCATCTACGAATTGCCTCATAGTATACTTACCAACACAAGAAAAAAGAATTCATGTATGAATTCAACTCGATGATAGTAACACAGTTTCACACCAAAATATATTATTTGCTATTCTCTTGACCAACCAGTGAAATGAACTAAATAAAATGTTAGACTCAAACTGAGGCCATACCACTTTTTGTAGCCTCAGAATTCCAGAATTGTTGTCATTTGTGGGATCCAATTGAGACTACTATCCTTTGCTAAGCAAGCCAATGATTAGCTCCAAAGGTGATGCTTAAGAAGGAAGAAAAAAACAAGTGCATGTGGATTGTCCCTTTCTTCTTTATTATTTTTTTCACATGTAAAATAATAGCTTTCAGAATCATCATGATTTGGCTTTCTCAATGCTTGGGGTCTACTACTAGGGAAAATGGGAAATGCACCAAACCATGGGCATATTAGTAGATTGAAGGGTGGTGGTGGTGGGGGTTGAGCTTGACACATTTCCGACCATCTTCTTCTCTCTAAGAGGAATATTTCCTCTTCTAAATCCCCTTTGGACATAATAAACAAAGCATTCCAAGAATGGAAGGATGGTATCATCTTTGTGGCACTCTCAACTTGGACTTTGTTGCTTGAGTTTTCAACAATCCTTCCTTTTGTTGCTTCATACTTTGCTACTTCTCCAATCAAACATTTTTATAATTAAAATGCTTGATTTAGACAACACCTCAATCAAATCACTTTGTTGGGTGCATATGATTGACTTAAGCCAAATACGGTAGGAGATAAGAATGAGCATCCAAGCAACACCTAAAGATGAATTGTGGTCACACCTACTTAACGAGTGTTGCTCATAAACCATATGCATGTACTGCATCAACCTCAACTCAGGGCAGGGCTTATCTTAGTGCAGATGTGTGCCACCTCCTGTCACTCTCTCTCTCTCTCTCTCAATTCCATGTTTCTGTTTCCTCTTCCAACCAAGATAAGATGTACAGTCTTATTATCATGCTCTCCTAAACTCTTCAAAGATTCCCCAAAACAAGAAAGACATGTCGATGATTTCCTAACATCTTCACCAAAAAAAGAAGGAAAAGAATAATCATTCTGACGATGTGATAGCTTAGTCTCCACCTCCACCAAATCCCAATGTTCGTAGTAGGCCATGAAGAAGAACGGTGGATCAATGAGTGGCTCTATGGGGACATCAAAAGGGCCTGATTCACAGAATCCAAAACTGTACTTTTTTTTACTGAGAAAAAGCAATCGGAAGGGGTGAAAATTAAAGGGGGAAAAAAAGTTCATAAAGTATATAAAAAAAGGACAAAAGAAGATAAGGTTTTGTTTACTAAAAGCACCATAACTTTTTCTCCAGCTTTTAAGTAAATCGAGGACCTCTAATTGATTCTTTTTTTTGTCCTTTTCAATGTTGTAGTTGAGGAATTAGCTGATAGAAATCAGGAAATGTCTTGTGGTTTGCACCATTCACAGCAAACATGAATCCAATCATGGGGGTGCGTCTTTCAAAGCAGACGGCTAAAAAGTCCACTGTAGAAGGACACGTTTCCCGATCCACTCATACTCTCTGCGATCTAAACGACACAACTTACTTGCAGGGAAGATAAATGCTTCTGGCACTCGAAATGCTTTCATCTTATAGACCTGATCGATACGATACCTGCATTTGTATATATATTATTTCTCCTTTTACTCCTCCAATTCTTATGTCCTTATCGATGCCCACCATGTGACATAATAAATCCAGCTTTTGTGCAGTTTTTATCAGATGCAATGAACTCACCATTTTTATTAAATGTAGGAAAAATTATTTTAATATAAAGCTTACAATATAAAACCTATAAGTCATTGCAATTTCTTATTTTTCTTCATTGTTCCCATCAGCATCATCTCTTTATGGTGTTCTCCAAGTGTCGCTTTTTGTTTCCCCATTTGCTCTTACTCTCATGGGAAACATTGCTGTAAATTTGTCAGTCACAGAGGGATGATAAGTTCGAGAAGGCTACAGCATTTGTCATGCATGATCTTACTCCAAGCATGGGAGTGAACATAAAGACAGTTTAATCACCACCACCACCATCACCACCACAAAGCAATGTGAAGAACATCCACCCTACCTACTACCAACAAAAACCCCATGAACTCTTGATCTCCATGGATTCACTACTTGATTCTTTTATTTATTGTCTCATTCTCTAATTGAAGTGCTCTTTCCAATAGAATTCTACATAAACAAGAGGCCCCTCTCCTTGGTCTCACTTTCTTCCTATCCTTCTCCAGCCAGGAAAACTATGCCCCCTTTGTGCTGAGTCATACATCCATCACAGGATACCACCATTATTAACAGGAGAGAATCCAAACCCACCTCCATTTTGCAACAGCACTTCTAATTATCTAGCTAATTAGTCCCATTCATCAGAGCAGTACCAGGAGAAGTTTGGTGCTTGCTGCTCCGAGAACAAGCTGCTGCAAAGCTCTTCCCCGGCCAGGAGCTCTTCATCCAGGTAGCCCTTCTCAGCTTGTGCCTTGTCCTCAAAGGGCAAAAAAGGACACTGAGACCTGAATCCCATAAGAAAGTGCTGGTGCAAGACAGTCCCAGCATGAGGGCTTGTTTCATCATTGAACACCACACTGGAATCACTATCCGAGGCGCCGTCCTTGTGGATCAAAGGAGGTCTCTCCTCCTCCACTGCTTTCGTCTCGGACTCCATTGCATCCATCCCAGAGTCTGCGAGCTTGGCCTTCAGCTCTGCTATCTGAATTAGTCGCCAGTAATATGAATACAAGTGTGTGTATATGTAGCTTAATGATGTGTACTTCCAAGTAGTACGCATGAGACAGGATCTTGAGTTGTGTGTGCTCACCTCGGCTAGGAGAGCCTCGTTATCGCGGCTGAGCGCATCGCAGTCGAGCTTGAGGGCGTCGTGCCGGGCCTTGAGGGCGCCGTAGTCGCGCTCAAGCTGCTTCGTCTTCCAGCGAGCGCGGCGGTTCTGGAACCAGACCGCGACCTGCCGCGGCTGCAGACCTAGATCTTGTGCCAGCCTTAGCTTCCTCTCCGGGTCGAGCTTGTTCTCCACCTCGAAGTTCTTCTCCAGAGCCTTGACTTGCTCCACGCTGAGCCGGCGTTTCTTCTCTCCCAGGCCCGACAGGCCAGTGCCGCAGGGCTCCTCCTCCTCGCAGCCGTCCAACTCCTCCGTTCCATCAAGAACGGCCTCGTACTTACCCTTCTCTTCGACTGAAAACAAGTAGAAAAGATCACTTTGAAGCAACAAAGAAAAGACAAGGTAGTCTACGAGAGAGAGAGAGAGAGAGAGAGAGAGAGTAACCTGATAAGGAGACGGGGACAAAGCCAGGTTTTCCTTGTAGACCATTAAAGGAGTGTGAGCTGTTGAGCCTCTTCATCTTGGTATGGTGCTTGCCTTCCTTTCTCCTTGGTGGTGGGCTATACCGAGCAGGATATGAAACAGAAGCGAAGTGGAAGGGATATTACATGGTTTTAAGGTGTGGGAAGCAGAGAAGGTTTAGAAGAGACGGGGAAGATGAGACAGAGAGGTAAGAGGAAGGCTTGGCTGAAAGGGAGCTACATGTGTTCCAGTGTACCTCTTCTTTGTATTTGTACCTCACCCTCCTCTCCTTCTTCTGAGCCCATCACCAGATGCAAAGCTCTTCCTTCGAACCTTTTTCCTCCTTATGGATCTGCAAGCTTGCTCTTAACCCAATAAAATCTGGCAAAAGAGAGAGAGAGAGAGAGAGAGAGCTGTGGAAATCTAGCACTTTTGTGGAGTCCATAAATAAAAGACAGCAAGACATTGGTTGGGTTGGGAGTTGGGTTGGGGTTGGGGGTGGGGGTGGGGGTGGTGGGGTTGAGAGGGTGACCCTGGTTAAAGAGGGAGGAGAGGAGACATGAAGTAATACTAAAATGTGATGGTGACCCAATTACACATGGTTGCTTTTGAATAAGTACATGAAATGATGTTATTTGTATTGGATGCAGAAAGAGATGCTATTGAGTGGTTTTTGTTTGAAGGGCCTTAGATAGGTTTGTATATTATAACCAAACCTATCATTTTCTTATCTCTTCAGAATTGCTGGCAGACATCTCAAAACCATTGGCCACTTTGTCAACATGTCTATTCAACACTTATCACTGAATAAAATAAGCCAAGTGGGAATTGATTCCTTTCTTGTCTTCATGTTTTCACTCTGGACTTTTTCTTTTCTTTTCCTTTTCTGAGGAGGAAAAAAAAAACTCTAGCTTTCATTTTATTTCAAGTGTCCTTGAGTTTATGCATTAGAATATCCAAGCTGATCAAGCATGGGTTTTTTTATCTACTATTACAATAACAAGATATATATGTCTCTCATCTCTCAGCAACAATTCAGCTGAGCATTCATGTGTGTGAAGTACTCCCTCTGAGAGTTCCTTGGTGATACATATATTACAGTCATGCACTGGTCACTAATTGGGGAACTTAAGTTGAAGTTGAATGCTGATCTTATTCTGCACTACTACAAAAATAATAGCATTTTGATCTCCAAATAAATGCACTCAAGATCGTAATAATCTTGTTTTTCCTTATATTGTTCTTATGATATATGCAATTTATCTTTTGTTTAATCACATCAGCTCAAATGGAACAATCAAAGCGATTGCCTGATATATCTCTGATGTAACAGAAACATTTATTTTTAATTTGTTATTGCCCTTGAGTTGTTTTCCTTCTATTAATGGTGGTCATGCATTGTTATTGTCTTACAGCTCCTCAATGAACATTCTCACTATCTTATCTACAAGTCTGAGCTAAAACTAAGTATACCAAAACTGAAGTTTTTAGAGCATATTAATTAGAAATAATGTCATCGGTTAACTCGAGCATATTAATTCCATAACAAACTCCCGATTAATGATCCTGGAAAGGGAAGAAGAGATGCTCAACATAGAGCAACGAGTTCCATGTTGGTATAACATAAACTTAAATCTACTCTATCAACTAAATCTGATCTCACATCAGAAAAGATTCCTTTAGGAAGAACAAGACCTAAAGAGTAGAAAAGAAACCAGATACTGCAAGAGTATCAGATTGACAAAGGTGCAGGCCTACACCTGTTCCCAAAAGTCCAAACAGTCAGAGAAGACAACTCCCTTTGTTCCACTTTGGTCACCTTAGAATTTTGTCATGAGCATGAGCGAGTAAAGTTCAACTCGAGGTAAGGCAGGTATCATCCTTCGCCAACCGCAACAGCAAAGTTGCACCAAGCAACCAAGGAGGGCCACACATGGCCAGCCATCTCTGACTCACTTTAAAGACTTGTGTTTTTATGCGGGCAGGATTGGGGTGGGTTGGGTTGTCAATGGACAGGCTGACCCCTCCGACATCAAGTGGTGGGTGGGGGTTCTGACTTGGCACATGAAGCAAACATGTCTTTCTCCTACTTCCCACTTTTCTTTCACTTGAAACTGTGATTCACAGCTCAGTAGTGTCCTCTCTCTCCTCCAGGCCTGTGATTCCATTCGGGGAAAAGTTCCTTTAGGAAGGGACATTCTTGAGACCAGATCAGAGTTGCAATTGATAGCAGACAGATATACTTTTGCAGATTTATTTATGATGCACTAAGAAGTTTTGAACACTGTAACTGAGATTCTTTTGACTCCGAATCTCATGAGCTCCTTTATAAAATGTTTATAAACGTTTCTTTTTTAGTTTATATATTTTTCATAAATTTTTTATGATATCAATTTTGATGATGTTCTATATAAATTTATGTTAAAATAGTAAATACAAGAACTAAAGTATGAAATAAATTCACCAGCTTAAGGATAAAATGAAAGAATTGACGAAACCCATGAGGAGGACAAAATAACTCACAGCTTTTTAACTGCATCTCCACGAAGGCCCGTGATGTGTTCATCTAAGTCTGCGTGGACCAGATCGATCTGCCGTTGAATTTCATCCGAGGCCATTGCTGGGTCAAACTGAAGCCATCTCTGCAATGCGAACCACCAAACAAAACTTCAGGCAATCTTTGGAGTAAAAGAAAAAAGCATAGAAAAACAGTGGATTTCACACAAAAGAGGACGAGGGAGAAAAACCTTGGACGAAGCGGCCCGGAGTTGTAGAAGGTATTAGCCATGAGAACAGGAGGACTAGCGAGAGATTCATGTGGCTGGAAAGAAGGGCTTGGAATGAGGAACAAACAAACGCAGGGGCTGTTTAATGTATAAAGAGATCTCCTTTTTCCAAAAAGAAGAATATAAAGAGAGCTCCTTACTGCTGCCGCCTTGTGCATATCTGCACAGATATGCAACCAGCAAGACGTCGTACTCAGCTCTTGGCAACAATCACTCTCCACCCATGTGATCATCGTGGAGCTCAAAAAGGGCAAAAAAACAACCCATTTGTTCAAAATCCCCAACTAGTATCAGGAGATGATTGCATGTATATGTTATCAAGAATAAACAACACCTTAGAAGCCAATAAGAACAATATCTAAGATTTTGGTTATTCCGTTGATATAATCAGATATGGGAGGATCAGCACTTAATCAAACCAAAACCAAAACTCCTCATTGGTGGCGGAGCCATCAGTGATCTCAGATGTAGACTACCCAGTGTCTTGCTCCAGCGCTTGAGCTGCAAGTTATCAGCATCAAACTTTTTGTTGTTCAAGCCCAAACCTGAACAGAAAAGGAGTTGCCTTTCTTAAGCAAAGAAAAAAAGGAAAAAAAACAAGGGCACCATTGTGATTATGATTCCCTCCCTAAATGTCATGGCCAAGTGATATGCCAAAGTAGATATCAAGCATGCAAAACGTTAGGAAATTGTTGGTCACCGATCGTATGTCATCACCCATTCACATGACCATCTTATGCCGATTACACCAGTGTCTCCTCAAGTTTAAAATGAGAGTTAATGTTCAGCATTTATTGTGAATTAAGTTTTTAGTACTGATCCTATTTTACTGAGCATGCAATTGATAATACCGAGTACAGAAATGTTTTTTATAGATTAAACAATACTGTCGAATATGCATGAACGACAGGTGGTCGATGCACCTGAACAGACCATTCATCAAAACAGGTCAGCTCTGGGCATACTCGAAAGGAAGTAAAGTTCCTTCTGCAAACTCATGCATCCTGATACACTCCAGAAATTCGAAAGACGTGTAAACCAATATGTTATGGTCAGAAATCATGCACATAGGTAACCATAACAATGGGGAGAAATCAGACAAGAGGCATACATACTATGCTAACAAAAGAAAAGAAAGGACGATAGAAATTGGTTATCAACACTTAATAGACCAGAGGCCATCCTAACATCACAAATAGACAATAAACTATGCAAACCATGCTTTAGCTCAAGATGATAGAAAAAAGAACTGATTATTCAACGAATTAATTGGTTTTCAGTAGCTTATGATAAGTAGAATATAATACTAATTCTAAATCCTTAGATCAGTTCCATGTAGATAATTTGTATCACAATAGTTATTACAGGGGAAGTCTGCTTTCAGAAACTGTTTGTCACAGCCATAAAAAATTAAAGAAAAAAGAAATAAACAGTATGTGTCTAGAGAGACGCACATCCAGTTTTCGTACAATCATACACAGTCAAAAGACTCAAAACGGCTACTACCAAGCTTAAGTTTAAAATCTCAGTCCACAACAATTTCAACACATTGTTGGACCAGAAAAATATTGGCATACTGCAGTAGCTGCACAAAATCTAATATGTACCAGTAATAAAAATAAATGAGTACTAACCATGAATTAAAAACATTGTACCATGCTATATGATTCTATATTGATCATCGGTTAAGACTGATAAAGACTAATTGGTACATACTAATCCAACCAATATTTGAAATCGTAGCTACAACTGGTGCATATACAAGAGTAGTTTATAGAATTTTTAAAGGAAAAAAGTAATGGGATGCAAGCAGTGTCTTTGGCTATCTATCAAACTTTGTTCAGGTACATTTGGTTCAAAGTAAAGCAAACAACAAAGGAATCCTTTTATGTTAACACAGAGCACTCGCTAGTCCTATTGCATCTTGGATTTGATGCTAGACAATTTGGGACATTACTCATCGCTTTAAAGTGTCAGTAAAAATTTCCAATGACATAAAGAAGAACCAATAATATCAAACAAAGATTCCTCTAATGGAAAATAGATAGTATATGATAAGAATATAACAAAGAGGATAAAAATTTACAAGTCAAGCACGCCTTATCAGAAAAGAGAGTGCCATTAATGTACTAAAGGATGTTAACATGTAAGACCGATTAGAACAGCTCAAGTCTATGGATCTGAATGTTCTCATGTTTCTTTTGTTCATCTTGAGTGTAACACTTAATACTGTCAACGAGTCAGAAAAACTGTAAACCACATTCGTAACTACATACAGTAGCAAGAACTTTGATATTCATCTTGCTCATACCCAAGAACAAAAATCCAGTTGCAGAACCATTATAGTTGAAAATACACATTATTGGCTAAAATGTAGAAAATCTGATAAAATGTATCATACATGACTATGAAAAGACCTATCGGAAACACATGCTAAGACAATAATTTAGTTAGTTCTGTACAGCTAGAGATTTTTTGAACTATATCTACATATCTATAAGTACATAGGTAAATCGCTTCAAGTGCAGCATATAACCTTGAATAAAGCATGAAACATGAGCAAACAATGTAAAGATGATGACTAAGAAAGATGGAAGTGGAACATTCGAGTGGAAGAAAAAATAGCAATGAAGATAGGTAAGAAACAACTACAACCTCTATTAACACATCAACAAGATTCAAATCATATAGCAATCTAAGAATTTATAACCAAGGGCATTGGTAGACGGCTATGTACATTCTGTAGCATGCATTTATGTTAGGACAAAAGTTGGATCGAGACTTAAATTATAGCTTATTACAAAAAATTACATTCATCACTATAATAACCATCATAGACGTCACCTGGTTGAAAGAATAATATTAAATAGGAACCTCGAACATAAGAGAAAATCACAATCTTTAATGCACAAGGGAAGCAATAAAGTGATCATTTTATTTTATCATAATCAAATATATATATCGGTCAATAGCGGTTTCAGTAACCTATTGGATTGGGTGATATACCTACCCATACCACCTGGTATCATTAAATGAAGCAATAAAAAACAAAATGTTCTACTTACATGGACTAGTATTGTGTTTTACGTTACTATAACAAAGGATATAAATATCAAACCAATATTGGTTTCAGTAACCTATCGAATTCGGTGATATACCTACCTACACTGCATAGTATCATCAAATAAAGTCACAAAAAACAAAAGTGAAATAAAAAGTACTAGTATCATGCTATACGTTTCAATTGCAGGATTTGATCAAACAAGTAGATACTCAACAGTCATCGAATGTTCCGACAACCAATCCATGGCTATTAGGGATAGGAAGCCATGTTATGTTCATGGTTTTGAGTAATACAATGACAATAATAGCGGAAAAAAGTTTGGAAAGTTTAGAGTAAAGATTCTCGATATACATACTAAACCATTACAAATTTACTGAACGATATCAGAGTCCATAAGTAAATACGCCATCAGAAGACGAAGAATGTTTATCGCTTGCCACGTGAAATAAAACAATGGCGACAAGTAGCCAAAACCCCGAGTTTAAGAACTGAACTTTCCATCAAAGAATCAAAGAACTGGGACGGAAACACACTTATTCCAGTCAAATTCACGAAGCCGACTTTCGCATATAGAAGAGACCAGAAAGGCGGAGAACCATTCAAGTCGGGTATAAATACGGGAATGAAGCACGGTTGGGAGAAAGGAGAGACAACGTACCCGACGCGAATCAATCCGCCGGCTCTCGACAAGATTGGCGATGCTGTCGTCGGCGAAGCGAGGGTTGAGGAGAGTACCACCAGTGGTTCCGATCTTTCATCATCTTTGCGGCCTCGCTCATGCGAGAATCTCAATCTCGGTTGGGGAAGCAGAGGCAAAGAGAGCGATCGATGGAGATCCCAGTAAGATCTCGACCGTCAATCGAGTGGACCCCGCTTGAATTGACGCGGTGAAGAAAGGACGGCTGAGATGCTAGATGAAGGTGGATGAACGGTTCTGCCAAGTGTTTTCGAGTTGATAAATATGAACATATGAGGGGTTAATATATAAAATATACCTGATTCGTGGTTCAAGCATTAATATGCATAAAAGCCCCTGATAATTATAATATTCTGACTCACGAAGGTAAAGCAAGGAATAAGCATCCCTCCCTCTGAGGCTCTTCTTACACATGACTTGCTTGGTCACTCTTGTCATCTACGGTGCTCTATAACATATATAGGGAGAAGGGGAACAATGCCACTTCGAAGCCTTTCTCCGGCCGTCTCCATCTCATCCACCCCTCCTTCACCCCGCCCTTCGTCGGGCGCGCCTCAGCACCGCCTCCGAGCTCCGCTCGTCGGGTGCCTGTGGGTTCTGAGCCTCGGCGCTTTTTCTGCACTCGCCTTCGACATGGGGTGCGCTCAGTCCTACCCCCGCATTCCTTTCCTGGGGTAAATCCTCCAATCTTCCCTGCCCTTACTCTCTGGTGTGGATAATGAATCGCCCAATTTGCATGGCATAAATTTCCAGAAAAAAAAAAGCTTTTGTACCCAAATGGTGATAATCTATAAGCGAAATGTGGATGGTGTATAGAGAACGATTGAACGGATCAAAAAGCTTTTTATCTTATGAAAACAAAAAGAAATAACTAGATTAATTGCTTCAAAGAAGAAATAAGTTTTCTAACCCTGAAGCTTGACCTTCATGTTGCACTGGTTTTTTGGGCTGGTCCTGATTCATGGTGCACCTTAGAGATTCATGATGGTTATTATCTTAGTTATTGATTCGATCCTCTGGTGCACATGAATCATGATTGTAATTTCCGAAATCTAGAATGCATAATTAACTATCATTTAAGAAGAAGAGTTGGATAGGCATCTACTACTGTCGTCACTTTCTTGTTCTAGCTGTAACTTCTTTGTTTGCAATAATTTTATAGGTTTAAGGCTATCATTTCCATTTGTTGATCCTAGTAACAAAACTTACTACTATATCCCAAAATCCAAGTGTTTGCTGTGTGTCAAGGAGATATTAATTTGCCACTGTGGTGCATTTGTTTGTATCATGCATATTATACATGTCAATGAGTGCCATATCATGCAAACGCATGCACGCTTGACAATAACCATAGTGACCAACTTTTCCAACACAAGTCATGGCTCCTATGGGTACGCCTAGTTCATATATTGTAGATATTTTCTAGTGTATGCATTTACTTTTTGCTTTGGGGAAGCGTTTCTCTGATTTGAATTCTGATTCCATCAACTGCCATATAGTTTGCAAAAATCTGTTGAAGTGTATGACTGTCCTTTTCTTATCTGTTGATGGCACCTTCTTTGTTTTTTATCTTTCCTGTTCTTGTACTCTGAGTGTAGCTCTCTGCCAGATCTATTTACACCAAACACTACCTTCTCATGTCGTGCCTCTTTTCCTTGCCGCTCATGAATTAAATTTTCCATTTGTGCAGGGTAAAGCCTGTTGATAATCGATCTGCCAGTAGTCTTTGCTCTACTGGGATGGATGCAACTTCAACCACTGTTCCGTCCATAGTTGTTTATGTTACTGTTCCAAATAAAGAAGCAGGTATCTTTATTGTAATTTTTTTAACATTTTTAAAAGCATCCTTGACTGGACAATCAATGATTATCAATGAAAAGTGTTTTGGGCTCGCACAAATAGCCAGTGTTGTTTTTCTGTTTAAATTTGCAAATATCAACGGATGAGCTCACTACTTTTATCATCTCGCCGTTGTCCTTCATTGTTAAACTTTTGATTTTTGTTATAAGCTCCACATGATAGCTCACAGAGTCAGATTAAGCAAGAAAATCTGATCCATTTCTTTTGGCGCAAAAGTTGGTTGCCACTCCTGATGTTTTACTCAATAATGACATCAGTGTTGCCTATCCAAATGCAGGCACGAAGCTCGCTGAAAGCATTATCCAGGAAAAACTTGCTGCATGTGTTAATCAAGTGCCAGGCATGTGCAAAATCATCACCTTATATATGGCAAATTGCAAAAATCTTATCCATTTTTCTTACTTATGGGCATGGCAAGTATTTTAGGTATATTGATATAACATATATCTAGGTTATTTATGTGCATAAATGAGTAGAGTTGTTGATCAAAAGGGTCTTTTTTGAATTGGACGAATTCGTTCCTTGAGGTATCTTATTGTCGATGTGACCTGTTCGAATATGATAGATACCAAAAGCATTGATGGTAAGATAGATTGCTCAATAAAACAATTGGAATTGAGGAATCAAGTTGGAAGGAAGCTTACATGTTACACTTTCAGACTGCTGAAATATTTGATCCATTTATGAAAAAGAGAACAAGAAACCTTCAAAGTGAAGAAACTGCAAATGCATCATCTTCCAACCAAAAGAGTGAAAGGCTCTAATCTAGAAAAAGGAAGGAATTAGTTAGATTTAGTAACTTCGCTATTTAAACTTTATATTCTCTCTCACATGGTAAAGTACAGGTTTATGTTGTTTAAGCAACATATGTTGATGGTTCCATTGAATGTCACTAAATATTGTAACCTCTTTAAATGTCATTAAATATTTCAACAATAGACATTGACTTGATGACCTAAGAAAAATACTGCTTATTATACAACCATTGACATCAATTCTTCTGAATGTTTCTCTAAATATGCTAGTGCCATGTGTTTGCAGGCATCAAATCAGTTTACTGGTGGGATGGCAAGGTATAGTTACTATTCTGCTCAACTACAAACTGTGGAAATTTCTCATGAAATCCACACCTTCATGTCGGTGGAAGTGTCATAAACTAGACATTCTGCATGTTATGCACGACCAAGTGTGTTGCTTGGCAACACAGAATACAATTCTTTCCACGGCTTTGCCTGCCTCATTAGCAAATACCTCCTTGCTATTTCATTAGTTCACAGGCAAGATACAGCAAGAATTAGGAGCATATGACATTTTCTGATAGGAAACTTTGTACAACCTGAGATGAGGGCGAGTGCTTCATATACCCACTTTACCAAACTCCCAAATGGTTAACAGAAAATTTAGGGAAGTCATATATTATTCTAGCCATGATTGGTAGGATGGTTTTCTGAAGGTAACTTGATTATGTCAGAGGTGTCGGGCGGGAGTTGTAAAGGTAATTTGACCTCATCATAGGGGTGAGTGATTTACAAAGCTTAAGTGCAAAGTATTTCTCCTTACAGGGATTGGTTTATACCAATAAGAAGGAGTGGGTTATTCACAAAATATAGTTATCGACAAATGGATCCAGATAGTATACCTGTAACCCTGTCAAATTCATTTACACTTTCACAGTGGACTAGCAATATATATGTTAGCTATACTTCAGGTATGCATAAATGTCTAAACACACCATCTGTGGCTGACTAAAATAATCTATTTCTTCCGTATCTCCAGGTACAAACAGACTCTGAGGAATTACTCATTATAAAAACCAGGGAATCCCTTCTTAGTGCTTTGACAGAACATGTTCAGTCCAACCATGAGTACGAGTAAGCCCCAGCCAGCTTGAACACTGATCATTAATGAGCCTTTAATTTGCAATTATTCAGGTTATGTTTGATGATTTGGCTATCTATATTATTGGTAAACTGACAATTAGTTTTTCTTCCAGTGTTCCTGAAGTCATAGCTTTGCCTATCAATGGTGGCAATCTCAAGTACTTAGAGTGGATCAAGAACAGTACTCGAGAAAATTGATTCGCATAGCCTTTTATGCGACCTGTTTATTGGAAATATGGAGTTTGATTCCTGATACCACACGGGGACAGGGCGAATGCCTTATGCTAAAAGCATGCTTTCTTTCATCATGTTTACGATATCAAAATGACAGTCATCTGTGATGTGTATGGAACCATTGATTGTGATGTGTATCACTGAATCACAATTCAATTCCTATTATTGTACAAACTTTCATATTATTTATTATTCAGGATTGTGGCATTTGCATAAGCTATGTGATGCAGCTGCATATAAAATAGTTATAAATTTGAGTTGCTATTTCATCATGCATTCTGTTCAACCCTTTCTTCTTGATTTCATACTGTGAAAGGCTTTGTGAGTCAAGTGCATTGACTGTTTTTGAAACACTGTGCGATCTATGAAATGCTACATGAGAGCTTTCAATCTGTTTCCTAGACACTTCATGGCTAGTTCAAGTACCACATTACACAAGTGATCAGACAAAAGTCAGTATTAGTCTCTACGACTTATTTCATCATTGTTAAAAGCTATAAAGGTTATGTTGAATAAAGTAGGAAAAAAAATGTTCATGCAATTTGCCAAAATAAATAAAAAGAACACAATCCATACAACTGCATATACAAGTATAAATATGTGGTGTTTACATAGCATAATCATTGACATCATCTCTGCTCTTCCATCTCCTCGAACCGTCCCTCTCCCTCCCTCTCTTCTGGCGCACCGAGGTAAACAAATCCCTCTTCTCTTCGATTTGTTCTTTGTGCTTCGTTCGTGTTTGATCGATCTTTGGGGTCTTGGAGAAGGCATCTGTGGAACCTCAATTGAACGCCATGCGAGTTCTCGTGTTTGCTTTCTTTTTCTTCTGTTCCTGTGTTGGCAATCTTTGTTCTCTGATCTCTCGCTTAAGAAGAAGAAGAAGAAGAAGAAGACGATGCAGTTTTCTTGGTTGTTCTTGCACCATGCTTCAAACCTTAGCGTGCATATTCCTTTGTAGCTCCTGCATTTGTTAGATTCCGTTATCCTGGATAGATCTTGATCTGAAATCTATCTTACGAAGGTGAGGTGGTGCGAGGTGAAATCCTTCTCCTGGCCAGGAGAAGGATTGCTAAGAGATTTAGGTTTCTTGATCCCTTCAGGTCTCGAGGAACCTTGATCGATCATGTCGGAGGGAACCAAGGAGCCCGATGGTGGCGAGGAGAAGGTGGTTCTCAAGACCCACGACGGCCAGGAGTTTACCGTGGACATGGCCACCGCCAACCGATCCGGGACACTCAAGAACCTCCTCTCGGAAGTCGGTGGCAGCAGCGACAACCCGCAAGTGATCCCCCTCCCGAGTAGCATCACCAGCCCGGTGCTCGGCAAGGTGGTGGAGTACTGCCAGCGGCACGCGGGGGGCGGCGGCGGCACGGGGGGCGTGCAAGCGCTGGAGCAATTCGACGAGGAGTTGGTGGAGCTCGACAAGGACATGCTGTTGGACGTCACCTACGCAGCCGCGTTCCTCGACGTGCCGCGGCTGCTCGACCTCACCAGCCAGGCCGTGGCCGACGCCATCAAGAAGATGTCCGTGGAGGAAGTCAGGCACTACTTCGGCGTCGTCTCCGACTTCACCGAAGAGGAAGAGAAGGTGATTCGGAGCGAGTGTCCCTGGGCCTTCGAATGATGGCGACCTGCAACTCGTGGGCTTCTTGGGATCCCCGTTCTCGGACAGTTTACCGGTTCATGTTCTTGGTGTTGTGGTCTGACTTCCATCTCAAAGACGGCATCAGTCATCCAATCTTTCTTTCTCTACTGTATTCATTTAGTTCAGAGGAATGATAAAGAGGAAAAGAAAGCCATAATAAAAAACTGAGATTAATAATACCCTAAGAAAAGCACACACCACATCAAAGTGGCTGTAATCTTTGGATTAATTCCTCGTACGTTTGTGTCAAAAATTGTGTTGATTGACTGGCCAACAAAGAGAGTAGAAAAAGAAAATAAAAAGATAAAAAAGATATATATGCAAGAGAAACTGGCAAATTATATTACACTGGTTCCCATACATAATTCGATTCAGTACTTGATAAGCGTCCGTCGCAAATTGCACGGACAAGAATTCGGAAGCAAGAGCCTTTTGCTTAATGACTCCTTAAGTAACTCACTAAAACTCTAATTATGTTCCATCTAAATTAAAACAGAGGTCTCTCTCGGAAGAGAAAAATGAACACGAGCAGATCGAATTTGCAACAACATTGAATGCCAATCACAAATCAGGCCATCTTTAGCTTAATGCAGCATCCCTCTCAGCAGTTCAGTCTAAAAGTTCTCTCTACTCCTTTGGATGTTTAGTCATGAGCTGAAAAGAAGGTAGGGATCTAAGAATAAGTTAGGGGCTGCAAAGGTTCTTAAGATCCTCCTCCTTGGAAAAGAAGGTAGGAATGATCCTTGAAGCATAAGGATAAAGATCTTTGTAGGAGTTCTTGATGGTGCCTTCTGCCACTCCAGTTGCCAGGGATATATCTGCCAAGAAACATTCATGTCAAGAGACAGGATCCAAATGGCAACTCAAAAAGATCAAGAGAATGTGGAACCTTTGACGGGTTTCTTGTCATCAGATAACTGAGTTATCATATAAATGACAGCTGCTGCAATTGATATGGGGCTCCTCCTGCAAATTGAAACTTGAGCTTTCCAATATGAAAAATGTTGATAATAATATCTGATAACTGACTGGTTCTTTGCGAAATGAAATGTGATTGCTTAGAAGCATGGACTAAGAATAGAAACTCGAAAAATCTACGTTACTAGCGGATACTGATGGACCTGTAAACTAATTTTTCAAATTTGGTACAGATTAGGAGGATTGAGAGTTTCCGTAACAGGGTATAGAGCTATAGTAGGTGTGAAACATTAAGTAGGCTAATAGATCCAGGCCTCCATTGTGGCTGGTAGCATTAACCATACTAAATCTTGAACTCTTAAAAGTACACAAGCAATCCAACTGATAGAGATTGAACGTGTCAAAAATATCTAATGAATAGCAGGGGGAGAAACATTGCTAGATATGATATCAATTTAATCTCAAGGCTAAACTACAAGCTTAAATGAAAAGATCAAAACACACTAAGGTAGTCTTGTGTTTGTTCTATCATCACAATTCATAATGCCATATATTATGCCAAGATCTATCAATCCCAAAGCTAAAATACTAATCAAATGCAAAGCTCAAAAATGCTAAAATGCAGTTGCCTATCAGCTCTATCAACCCATTTCGGATGTAATACCTAATGTCAAGTTCTTCTGACTTTTGAACTGCTTCTTGAGCCGCTTTAACTGCTTGGTTTGTCATGCCAAGATGTGAACAGAATCGTCTCTGATCATCAGGGCAGAAAGCAATGAAAAATTATAAGCATATATGTTCCAGAAACTAAGACCTCCAAGTTAAAAAGTCAAAAATTCAGATAAAGAACTGAAAAGGAACAAAAGAAAATGAATGTCGATTTGATATGGCAAATGCAATTGCAATTGATGAAGCAAATATGCCAAAACTAACCAAAAAATCTCCTGCATGAATCGTTCCCATCTCCATAGATTGCCCCATCTCAATTTCAAGCTGTTTCACAATGAACTCTTTAGCCCGACCTATTTCCTTTTTTGTAGCTCCATTGGCAACAGAACAGATCTCTGTATGAAGGAAAAACATAAGTTAAGCAATATCTACTAAAGACGAAAACCATAATAGGAGAGAAACCAAAAAATGATGTACCCTTTACAGTACGAGGCTTGTCCTCCTGCCGACAAGCTATGTATAGACAAGCCGCTAAAATTGCATCTTGATTGCGCCCTCTAACAGATTTCAGATCTTCAACTTTCTTATATATCTCATTGGCTCGATCCTAATAAGTGACAGATAAAACTATCATTAAAGTATAAGAACCATTTACAGAATTTTAATTATACCTGATATCCTATTCAGCTAAGTGTCAACAACCATCCTATATTGAAGACGGAATTAGGTTACTAACTAACTGTATGCAGGAAGCACATAACTTTTACCAGGAACTTATAAACCATGCACAACAAATGTTTGTAACTGCAAATATACTATGGATATGACATAGGATAAAGAGAAGAAACATTGGAACATAATTGGACTTCCAAGTTCTGGGTGATATTATAGCAAAAGGATGTAACAATAACAAAGCCGTTAATACCAGCTTATGGATGGGCAAACAAATATGATACAATGACAATAAATGTAACTAAAGTAAGGACAATCATGGTTTTTTGGATCTTGTTAACTACTATATGACAGTTATTGTTTACTAGTTAACATAGGATGCAAAGATCAAAGTAGTCAACTTCCAGTCAGGATTTAAATATCTAAAATATGCTTTAACTGAAAAGCAAAAGGTTGACTTTCTTAAGTGTCCTAAATTGTAACAGAATAACAAAATATGCCAAAAGGTACAATCTTTGTTTTCTATAAATTACAATATGTTACAATTATCACTGGCATGAAAATCTGTTTGAGGTGGCCTGTTATTAGCTATGCTTTTTATAATTTTATCCAATAAGTGATGCAATTAGAGAGAGTGATGAGAGACAGAGGGAAATCGAGTTGACAGTCCTAAAAAAATAAATAGATGAACCTAAAAATAATCGCCTAAGATCACAAACTAATTCAGCCTGTCTTCAGCAATAATGCCTCCAACAACTGGTGTTCTGTCACGAGAACCTAATCAAACAATGAGCGAATCCAAGTAAATATTTCATGTTCAGATAAGGGAATAACATGTGGGGCAAGTCAGCATGGATGGTCCAAATCACACTCCTCTTGTGTATAAGATTGACTGTTCTGTAAAAGTTCAATCACAAGCTTCTCATAAGGTCATGCATATTTCAATGCCGGATTCTTGTGTCAAATGAATGATTATTGGAGATTTAGCTCTCTTTGGACTTAAGAATGACAAAACCATCATTTGTAATAAAGCATATTCAGCATTTTGTAACTTGAATCTAAGAAGTCAATAGGACCCCATGTTTCTTTCCATATAATTATCTATGGTAATGAAAACCTGAAATTCCTGTCCCCTTTCTAAGCATGTAAAGGACAATTGATCAACTAAGAGAAAATGTAGCACAAATGGCACTTGAGAGATTATCTATAAAGAAGATTGAGGCACATAATAAACCTGATCCGTCTCATCCACAGATGAAGTTCCATACTAAGCTTAGCATAACTTTTAGAAACACTCAAAGTATTGTTATTTTTCCTCATAAATCATAAGTTTATTCAGTAAGATACACTGCTTTCACAAATAAAATTATAAAAAAGGAACTTCAGAATAAAATCAAGGGAGATTCTGTACCTTGATAGTGGCAACAAGACCCAACCTAGACAAAAAAAAAACCAACAGATCAGATCTAGCTTCAATAACCATCATATCTGAGTAAATATAAAAACATTACAAAGTTCAATCAAAATTTTCAGGCTAATCAACCACTAATGTAACTTGTATAAGTATTGGAGTATCTAGCCTGGCTGAATCCCATGAAGACCTTATATAAATAAACTGAACAAAGGCCATAATATCAATCATGCTCTTAAAAACGTTTGAAGGCACCTAAATAGTGCATGAAAAGAATCAGTTCATTGGGACAAAGTGGCCTTCATGCAAGTCACATCAATAGTATACAAACAAAAGAAAAAAGGGTTTTCCAATGTTATGAAATTATGAATACATTCCAATTAGAAATGTACATCAAAAGATCAGTTCTGGTATTGCAAAATTATCAGTTGTGGAAGCAGCTTGAATTGCCTACATCCAAGATTACTTTTTTGACAACATAGCAATAGTTGTGACTATTTTACAATTCAAAATTTTAGTCAATTTAGTTCTTTGTTAAGGATGCCAACATACGTAGCTCCTAGAATTAACCAACCATGGTTCTTTCTTACCCCTTCCTCCTCTTTATTCCTTCAAAGAAGTTAGAGCACAAATTAGTGACTCTATACAAGAGTATGATCACAGTTTGGACATTACACCATTCTGGAGATATCATTCTGCCGTCCCTAAAATCCATGCCTTTCCAAATAAGTAATGGTCTATATTTCTTAGAATACTACAATTGTACCAAAAGTTCTTCCTAGATAGACACAAACCACAGGACATATCTTTCAAGAAAAACTAACGTTTGATCCTATTAAGCAAACCATAGAAGACCATGGAAGAACTTGGAAAGAACAAATCAAATTTCATAACCAAATCATCACAATTTTTTCACTTTTGCATTAAATTCATAGTATATGGAGATAAAAAATAACTGTAAACCCATTCTTTTTTGCACCCAGACCTTCTATCGTTTAGATAACAGCTAACCCCAGTCATTCTACAAACCAAGATGTTTCACACACGAAAAAATTGAATTCGCCATCGAAGAAAACCCCAAACATGAACCAATCGTCGGGCGTGTCTCCACGATGATCAAATTCGTACAGGAAAGACGGTCCTTTGTACCGCGTACTGGCAGCATAGCATATTGTGGTAGGAGAGAAGAAAAGGAGACAAGAGGATACCTATCGGCCATGGTGGCGATGGTCTTGAAGGCGAGGATTAGGGATCGGTCGGGGTTGGATCCGCGGTTCTGCCAGCGACCGAGGGAGGAGGAGAGGAACTCGCCCTGGGCGCCGTTGGGCTTGGAGATGACAGTGGAGAGGCCGCCGTCGGCGAGGAGGGGGTTGGTGGGCCCGCCGACACGGACGGGGTCGTTGTCCCCGGACTCGT